TACACTACTCCTTATATTTTCAATATAAGACATATGCACTGTAGAACAGTTTCGCCTATACACATATTTTTATCATTAATATTTGATTCCAGTTTTGTTTAATTGGATCAATCAGGTTTTGAACTGAATTCCCAAAATTAATACGTTTCTGCAATTCAGTCATTTTCATTTGATCAAAATATGTTTCAAGAAAGTTTTCAGCCGCTGATGTCATCAGTTGTATATCATAATTATATTTACCATTATAACTGGTTTGCTGTAATCTGTTTAATATATCTTCAAGTTGTTCTAATTCCTCTACTTCATTTTCAAAATCAAGCAAATTCCGAAACGATTCTACGTCTGCACTATACTGTACGATACTCTAAAATAAAAATGTTATGATATCAATGATCTTGTCCACTCTGTAGTGCTTCTAAGGATGAAGACTTATGATAAGTGTCTGTCTCCCACCGAGGAATATCAATTTTTCAAAGTTTTTCTTTTCCAAACGGACGAAGAGCAAGGGCACTAAATATAGCTTGAAGGCTTTGTTTCTGAGTACTCTCCCCGTACGGTCAGACACATATCACGGGAAGCATTTTCCGATCTAGAAACGTATGTTTCCTGTTAGAGCAAGATTTTGGCCAGCCATGTTTGAAATCGCGCACCACAGTAAACGAAGCAATCACACATACCATGCTTGTGTACATGTGGAAGAGTGTCAAAAACTGACTAAAATTTCATTTTCCTGTCGATTATTGGAACTTTCCCACAAGGTATTGTAACTGTTTTGAAGCTTACTCAATTTTAACAAAAACGTTTCCGATTAGTAAAGAAGTTATTTAGTGTGAATACATATAAGATCGAACGCTAATTGTTCCTTTTCCTGAATCGGATCGTGTTCTTTTTCTCTTACATTTCGTTTGCGCTTCTCATTGAGGTAATATGAACCTTTTTCAAATACGACGTGATTTTTCGAGCAAATTATGTGCTGAGTTTAAGAACGATACACATTTTATACAACTACTAAGTAGCAGACTATGCGCAATGAATATTACAACATAGACGATCACATTTCTGATAGAAGATAACATCTACAGGAAAAACATTTTCGTTTCGTCTTTTCTCAAATAACAAATCAACATTATTTCTTTGTACATGCTCGAACCAGCATTCTATGTGTGATATCAAGATGCTTTGAAACAAATTCAAAAATTCAAACAAAGTAAAGACCACCAGAGCACCCGCGACTAACTCTGAATACCAAGAATGAATGATTAATTAGTCTGCTGGAATACAACGTTGCATAATATTGTTTTAAAAAGTAAATTTCGAGAATGTGATCTGACAAAGTTTCCTGATCAGGAAATATTTTCCGAAGTGAAAAGTGATAGGGAACTGACTGTAATATACTCTAAAAACTGTTTATTTGATGTAAAATGGTAAAATAATAAAATAAAAGTGCCTGGAAGTGCTTAGTGAGAAGGGGAAGAGCAAAACATTTTTACTGGATGGAAAATCATATAACCAAAAGATCAGTCTAATTCGAGTTGAGTACTGTGACTACAGTTAAAAATTTCGATTCCGAAAGCAAATCTATGATATATGTTGACTTACACAGTGTGGAGATCGTTTAAGTCAGTAATGGTACATCTAATACCATTTTTGAGATTAATCTGGTGCTGGCACTCAAATTTCCATCCTTCTCAATTTTTCAACTATTCAGTGTTTGTTTCATTTCTTTTTTCTCACAGTTTTTTTCTTTCCGGTAGTCAAATATTTGTCTTCCATTCAGGTAGTAAGACAAAGTTAATTACAAGAGATTAAAATGAAAGACAAATATATGACTGACGTGACGAAAAAGTACTCTTAGAGAAACAGAAATGAAACAAATGGAATCAACAGTTGAATTGAGAATGATAGAAAGGACAAAAAGCAGTTTCTGTAAGCGAATGGCACAATATAATTTTGACTGAAAATGACCAGAAATGCTTTCCTTTTCACTTCCCAATACGTCGGGCTTTCAAAAATTGCTCGTAATCTAAAAAACGTAATCTAAAAATCGTAAAAATTATTTATTATTTTTCGTTTTTCAAATTTTTCGTACAATTTCAAAGACTTTAACCAAAGCTCATACGTGGAAACATAGAGAATTTTCCGCACTTCAAAACGAGCTATTGACAAGCTTCTCAAAAAATATGCCCCACTATCAGAATTTTACTGAAATACTGATACTGATGAATACTGAATATTGAAAATACTGATGTCGAAAACAACTTTTTTAATCGTTTCAATTAGCGTTTTTCACATTGAAGGAAGCATTTTTGAGACTCGAGTCTCAAACATGAAATGCAGTCACATTATGACCCCTCGAAAAAATGGTCCGATCGAGTCAAAATTTTTACCACAGATACTCCAAATCCTATCTCAGAATAGAATTTTTTTTCGAAAAATATGCTTTTCTTCTCGAGATATACGAAAAATGCTGAAACGGGTACAAGACTCTCCCCTCCGGCGGAGAGAAAAAACTTATTATTTATATTGTATTTCTTAAAAACAGAAAAGCGTTATATTAAGTTTAAACATCCTGATCAAGTTTATTTGTTTCCTTCAAGATTTACTGACAATTTGGACGATCTCCAGGATTTCCATTGCAACATTTTTTTAGACATATTTATCGAAAATTGCACTATTCTCGCATTTCGAATCACATTTGATTCTTCAAGAATATTTCTAATAATAACACCTAGTGAATAAATATCTGATTTTTCAGTTATTAATCCATACGATGATAAAAGTTCAGGTGCAAAATAACCACGTGTACCTTTGATAGACATTGGTTCACGATGAGCAAAGCCAAAATCAGCTATAAGAAATGATGGTTTATTTTTTTCCACTAAAATATTAGGAGGTTTCATATCACGATGGATTAATCCAACATCATCATGAATGTATTTCAAACCATTAATAATTTGAATAATCATATTATTAATACTAAAAGGAGTAAATGTATTTACTTTCTCTTCAATATAACGTGTTAAATCACAATCTACTCGTTGCGTAATAATATAATACTTATCAGTTGTTGTTGCTTTATCCTTCATTACACTGTAATATTTAATAATATTCTCATGATTAAATTACCGAATATAACGTATTTCTCGAAGATCAAACTTTTTCAGTGGTATTAATTTGGCTGCTATTTTGATTTTAGTCTTATCTTGTTTTGTTAATTGACCAGCAAATACTGGAAAATTACTTGAACCTATTTTTTCTGTTGTTATATAATATTTATAGCAAGTATGAATAAATTGTTGGTCATGAATATCTAGATATAATTGTTTTATCAGTTCTGAATGAGTTTTTAAAAATGCACTAACAAAGACTGAAATATTTCTGTCTTTTACACGATGTCGAAAACAATTTTTTTAATCGTTTCAATTAGCGTTTTTCACATTGAAGGAAGCATTTTTGAGACTCGAGTCTCAAACATGAAATGCAGTCACATTATGACCCCTCGAAAAAATGGTTCGATCGAGTCGAAATGTTTACCATAGATACTCCAGATCCTATCTCAGAATGGAATTTTTTTTTCGAAAAATATGCTTTCCACACAAAAAAGGTTTTCAGCAATTTTTGGTATATCTCGAGAAGAAAAGCATATTTTTCGAAAAAAAAATTTCATTCTGAGATAGGATCTGGAGTATCTGTGATAAAAATTTCGACTAGATCGGACCATTGTTTCGAGGGGTCATAATGTGACTGGATGAAAACTGGAGTTTTTCAGAAAACCCATAGAAGATCATGTCACAAAATTCTGAGCAAGAATACATCCAAATTCATTTGAAAAAATGTTCATCCGCCTTAGATGATCTCACACTGTGTTTTCTGTTTTCATGTGAGCGCTGCCAAGGAAATGACGTTTGAAAATATTCATGGAATGTTTTTCATCAAAAGCGTGTGAGAAGAAGAGGAAAGAGAATATACGTTTGTTTTCGCTCAAACAGACTTCTATAAAAGAATGTGGCAGAAAGAAAGAAAAACAAACGTCGCTATCTTTCAAAATGGAGAGAAAAAATGTCTGTCGTCTGCAAATAAAATACATTTGCGAAATGACGGAGATTTGAAAATAACCGAAGATTCTACGTTTATTGTTTGGAGATCATCTGAACACAAGAATGGGCTGTGAGCATTCAAATGTTTACGTCGCACCATTAGCTCTCAAGTCAGACGTTGCTGATGAAAATCGCCATGAAGTCCCTGAGCCAATGGCAAGCGAGGACATCCGGAGTGTCGGGAGAAGTAACGATGCTCCCAAGCAGTGCACATTGAAGGTCAGTGTTTGATAATGTTCAGTAAGAAAATACATTTAGCAACAAAAGAAAGTCTTCTAGGATAGTGTTCTCAGAATTTTCCTGTTTTGTGGCATATAAATGAATACTGCGAAAGGTTCCAGCCATACGACTGTCTCTAGGGCGTGTACTGATCTCAATTACTTGAACCTATAATACAGAAGCACGCTGCATTTGGATCAGTAATTTACACTATCCAGTACTTCACAAGTATGAAAAACAGCAGTGCTCCTTTAACTTCTAAACGGATTTTACGTAAAAAGTTGTGCGCTTTCTCCTAGAGTGAACCCATCGATGAGCAAATGCGAAATGACACCACGGTCCGTTCGTCCAGCGAGCCTGCTTCTATTGCAGTCGCACCGCCACGTTCGAACGCTGAGAAAAGTACAGTTGCTTCGGACGATTATCAAGATCCTTCTTTCATGTATGCACGACTTGTACTCGAACTTCTCGTATCGATGGACACCTCAGACGACGCTATCCGTCAAGGACTAGTCGTGGAATGTTGCAAGCAATACGCCAACGATCCGCTTGAACTAACCTATGTTGATGAACTCGATGTGGAATATACTGCTGAACGAGCCGTTTGGTGATACACAAGACCCACGTTTATGTATCGAATGCTCAATCGTGCACTACTGACTCAGGATATTGATATCCTGTATAAAATGCGCTTTTTTATCAAGGATCTTCATATGCAACTAGAACAACTTCATGCAAAATATATTACAACTCTCATATCGAACTCGCTCACTGTCTACCGGACGCCAGTTTCTTACAGATTCAACAGAATCTTGGTGGTCTCGTATCATTCAACACATTCCTATCGACGAGTACTGAACGACGAATCGCACTGAGCTTTGCAGTCCAGAACCTCAATCGTTCTGGCGTACAATCAGTTCTATTTGAAATGGTGATACATGTCGACCAGTGTCGTAGCCCCTTTGCCGATATTACACAGTTGAGTGAGGTTAAAGGAAAAAAAGAAATCCTTTTCTCAATGGGCACTGTGTTTCGCATCCATGGTTTCGAAAAACTTCCCAGTGGTGTGTGCACGTGAAGCTAATATTGAACGGCGACGAAGATGTTCAACTACGCCAACTGACGGTACACATGCGAGAAGAACTTCAAAGGTCACATCCCCTGTTTACATTGGGGAGACTGATGAAGACACTTGGCAAGTATGACAAAGCAGAGCGCTTCTATCGAACCTTACTGGCCGATGAGACGTCGTTCATCAATAATTTAGCTAACAAAGCAAAGCTCTATAGCGATTTGGGAACAATCTACATGGACAAACGCCTTTATCCTCAAGCACTTGCGTATTTTCAGCACTCGAATGAGTGTTCTCCTGACGCCGCCGAGTGCTGCAGCAACTTGGGCTTAGTGTACGAAGAGCTTGGTCAACATGAGCGCGCTATCGAAAATCTACAGCGTGCACTAGAACTTGATCGTACCGCTGTTTCTCCTTCAGAGAAACTCGCTATTCGATTCAACAACCTTGGCGTCGTCCACCACAAACAGGGCAAATTTGATCATGCGAGATACAATTTTCAGCAAGCCCTTGAATGTCTGCCGTCAACCCATCCAGACATTGCCCAGTCTCACAGTAACATTGGTGCAGTCCTACATGCGCAGCAAGACTGTTCAGGTGCTCTCCGCTCATTCACTAAAGCTCTAGAAGTCAAGTCTGCCTCGTTACCACTCGAACATCCGTCGTTGGCCATTACGCTCAGAACAGGAAGAACAGGAAGAAGTGGTATTTCTTTTTCACTGGTGAGAGTGTATATAATGAGTTAAACGACAATTTATGGGTCCAAGGACAATTTATACGCCCACCATAGTGAAGATAAAATGCCATTTTTTTCGGTTTTTATTCTGCACAATCTCTTAAAGATGATCATCCACAGACACAAGAATTAAAAGCCAGTCTTGGGTCCATATGCCAAAAATTAGACGTATCGAATAGTAGTTGACGTGTGCGCCATCTCTTTTACGCAACAAGGTTTTGTGAGATTATTGTTTTATTGAATACATTATAAGTTTGTTGAACTATGTAACCAACAATATTTGGTGTTAAAATAATGTAAAAATATCAGTCAGTGATGGTAAAGTCGGCATATCCACACACATCATAAAATCTGGTACATCTACAAGGTCATCTTGTATCCATTTGCCTTCACCCATTGCACCATCATCAACTACTTCTTTAATACCTAAATCAACGTCGTCAGATATATCACCAGCTAAGTCTACTGATAAATTATCGACTTTACCCTCATAATCATCACTGTCATCAGTGTAATAATTATTAGTGCCACTATCAGTATCCAAGCTTGAATTTAGTCTATATTTAACGTTTTCATCGGAACTTTAAAGAACTCCCATCTGCATTAGACATTGAAACTTGATATAAATAAATCGGGTATAAAACTACAGCAAATAACATTTTGAATTCTAATAGAAATCACTTATAGCAATCCGTTTAGGGAGTAGTAACAAATTTGTAAAAATTGGCACTAATAATTATTATAAAAAATTATTTATCATTTTTCGTTTTTCAAATTTTTCGTACAATTTCAAAGACTTTAACCAAAGCTCATACATGTATCAAAATTTGGAATGGAGCAATTGGAGGAGTTGTCTGCACACCATTGAACGCACCTTTCGAGGACAGTAGTATGCTCCACAAACCTTTTAGATTTTCTCAGACATCTGATTGAATTTTCCTCATCTATCCAACCTCTTCGAAATTCATTAAGATTTGCTTGTTCAAATAAAAGATCGCCGTCGGTAGATTCCGCCAGAGCAGCCCAATATTTCTCCCGATAGCGATGACATCGATCCTCCAGGGATATCTCATTGAGAACAAACGCGAAGAAAGAATCCGACCATTGCAATTTACGAGTAACACGCTTCAAGCAAGTATAATAAAAGTGTGACAAATCCGCTCGTTGTTTTTCGGTAAAAAGAGGGTATAGAACAAAGAGCCACGTAAAGATGGGAAGTACGTAGCAAGAAAACAAAACTCTTCTTAAGTCGGCAGAAGTAAATCCGGAAATACGGCAGGAATTAACCATTGCTACGCGCTGTCGAACATTAGTCATGTATTTTTTGATCATAGTTCCCCATCCTAGTTTCGGTGTTATCCAGTATCCTAAATACTTAAATGCCTTAACCCAGTTAATTTTGTGCTCGCCAGAAAAAATATCGAATCTTGGAGGTCCTAAGGCTCGAGCAGACCAAAGAGCTTCTGTTTTTTGATAATTAATCGGCTGTACTGTGAGGGTTGCGTATGCTTCTAGTCTTTCAAAAAATAATTTAAGCCGTTTTTCTAGATCAAGACACTGTTCAGTATATCGAACCCCTATTCGACCTGCCATGACTGCCGCTAGGTCGTCGGCAAAGAAAAAAGAAAGACAATAACTCAAGAAATCCCCCATATCAGCATGATAGGTTATAAATAGGGTGGGGGTAAAGACTGAGCCCTGGGGTCCGCCTCTTTTGATTGTAAACCAGCGGGAACGTTTGCCTTGAATCTCTACAAATGCCTTCCTATTCTCCAGCCAACCTTTGATCCATTTTAAATAGGACTTTGGGATACCTATCCTCCTTAACTTTCCTAGGCAGCCATCGAACCACAACTGGTCAAAAGCAGATTTAAAGTCTACAAAAACTGTTGCAACTGGAGAACTATTAGCCATATATGACGAAACCTGCTTCAAAAACAGACGCACTCTGGTTTGAAGGCGATATCCCTCTCTAAATCCCGATTGAGTATCCGGTAAGATACCCCTAACTTTTAAAATTTCGCGAAAGCGTATTACAAACAGTTTTTCATTTATTTTCAAAAAAATGTCGAGTAGAGAATTAGGCCGAGTTAGAGCGGGAGCACAAACTGAATCTTTTTTCGCGAGGATAATCATTCTTACGTCTTTCCACAAAGATGGAAATACTGCAGAGGATAATGCGAGATTAAAAATTTGGAGTACAAAAAGCCAGTGAGTAATATATGCGATATTACCTCTCAGTGCCTTCAATAATAAAAAGAAGTGGTGAAATACACAGGCTTTTACCATTCTCTACCTTGCTGGTTGATGCTGGCTACGCTAGGGTATTGGGATTATGACCTC